TGCAGCGGGGCGGTTCGATCTACAGCTCCCCCTTGGGCTCCGTCGTCTCAGCCGGCTACTCCTTGAGGGGCAAGGTGAGGAAATTGTGCTCACTTTTCGAATCCCCTAAAATTAGGGTGAGCCGACCCGATTCCCCGGAACCCGACCCGCCGTTCCGGATTCCGGGCACCGAGGACAGAGTCGTAATCTACTTCACGAGCCTGCGCAGCATCCGGAAAACCTTCCAGGAGTGCCACAGCACGCGGATGATCTTCCGTGGGCTTGGGGTGAACGTCGACGAGAGGGACATCTCCATGGACGCCGCCTACAGAAAGGAGTTGCAGAGGGTTTTGGGTGAGAACAACATCGGCTTGCCCCAGGTTTTCATCAAGGGCAAATACGTCGGGGGAGCTGAGGTGGTTCGGCAGCTGGTGGAGATGGGAGAGCTGGGAAGGCTGATCAAGGGCTTACCCCTGCGACGGGTGGACCCTTGCGAGGGGTGTGGAGATGTGAGGTTTGTGCCGTGCACCAGCTGTAATGGCAGCCGGAAGGTGTTTGAGCATGAAGAGGATGGGCCCACTAGGTGCCTCCACTGCAATGAGAACGGCCTTGTACGCTGCCCTCGCTGCTGCTTTTCATGAAAACTACACTGTGAGTGGAACTTCATATTGCATTTTTAACATGTGTATGGTTTCAACTTGCAATGGTGATGTGATGCTTAGGAAGTATATGTATGTGTATATATAATATATATGATGGTTGTGCTGTGGGATTTTTATCGGTGAATAATTTGGATTGTTCACCATTCTCTTGGTTTCACTTGCACTTGCTGGGGTCGTAAAACCTTTTTGCCGGCTCTGGTTTGTGGTATATGCCATTTGCGCCTAGGTGCGTGCAGGTGGATGCAATGTAATGTAATGTGCTGTGCTGCGAGGATTTTGCAGTCCAGTTATATATGAAGTTGGTGATTAACTAAATACATATATATTGTATTCTCATTAATAATGTTCATGGTGGCTTGACGAAAAACCTCATGGTTTATAGAGAGAATGCATAATACAATATCATAATTTTGGCATGCGAAAATCATTTTTTTTCCGGCTATTTGTTGCCGGAAGTAGTTATGTGATGCTGTTGTTTGGGTAAATTTTTTTAGGTCCCTTTTGGTTTTGAGGTGGAGAGGATTTCTTTCACTACAAATTGGGAAGGGAAGATTTTGAGACCCTCCTATATAAATCCAAAAATAGCTTTTAAGGATACGGAATCTGTTCTATACCCGAAGGCCAAACTAGCAGAATGGATTAATTTATTTTATTGTCTACATTTTCAAATCTTGAACTTAAGTTTGGGAGACACGAGTTTGAAGTGTCTTTGGTGATCAAGTGCCCAGTATTTTTTTCCTCTTTTCTCTGTGCTTATTTATATTTTGTACATACATTTGCAGTGATAGCTGGAACGAGCCGAGCGTGATCTCATTTAAAGCTCGTTTGGCGAGCTCGGCTCGTTAAGGCTCGTTAAGACTCGAAAAGAGAATTTTTAAATAATTTTTTATAGTTCGGCTCGTTAAAGCTCGAGATCAGCTCTTTAAAGCTCGAACTCGAGGCCTTAACGAGCCGAGCTCAATTTTTGGCTCGTTTATTTGACATGCCGAGCTCGGCTTGGCTCGTTGCAGGCCTAGTGATAGTGTATATCAATTAGACAATTATCGATCATCATCGAGGCACACTACATTAACATAAATCTTGATCTGAAACTGCTTGCCTGACGATGATGGTATGAGAGCAGTGATGGAGTAAAAATTGGAAATTAGTGGTCTCGTGTCTGTTTGAAATCATTGAATTTTCTTCAATAATTTTGTTTGCTTTAGTGCTGTTCAGCACTTAACGTAATTGATGGGGTTGATTGTGAATTGAATGCACAAGATCAAACATCACGTTCCGTGAACCATTATCATATTGGTTTATATCACAAATAATTTTCTACATAGATGGCAAAAGCTCGTCACGAAGCTTTTAATTTACCACTTTTAATTATCATATTATACTGTCCTACGAAACGAATAGGCCATTTTTAATTTACCGATGTAACCAATAAAAATTACTGTCCGTATTATACTTTTTACCAGATATCCATATTTTTGTATGCGAGTGACCTACGGAAAATTATTACATAAAAAAGATTGCAACATTTTTACATAGATGTGCATTTTACTTGAATAATTTTCCATAAAAAAGATTGTAACATTTTTACATTGATGTGCATTTTACTTGAGTAGATTCGACAAGTTTACATTTGGAATAAGCATGCTCTGTAAAATACTTTCAAAGATAGAAGTCGGGAATGCAAATAAATTTCGTCATACACTAACTACATTATAAAATAGGCAGTTTTTTTTACGACAGAATTCATTCACTAATAATTACAAGTGACTCACTAACTGGAATATGAGAACTACCCAAGGCAGCATTGATATCACAACGCACACTACAATACAAGACAAGAAAAATAAAAGCTCCCCATAGGAGAATATTCAAACTCCACAGAGGAGGAAAACACAGTCCTCCAAAAAAGGAGAAAACAAAAAATAAGCCACAAAACAACACACGAACAAACACTACACAAACACAAAAATAAAACTAAACAAAGCTACTAAAATTAAGTCCTCCTCTACAGCTGACAACCCAGAGTGGTCACCCCATAGACTAAGACCTGGTTCGGAGCACCGAGCCAGAAGCTGCAGCAAAAAGGCCTAACAATGCTCAACCTCCCCAATCCCGCAGTCCTAATAGACTGAGCACCCACAGTCCATCGCACTAAAGCCAACCCCAACTCTCTATCCCACTTTTGCTGAAAACCGAGATCTGAAATGCTCGGAGCCACCAACCAACATCCTCGACGGAGCCATCGCCCAACCCCAGGAGCGACGGAGAGCCAAGAGTGTGGAGCACCAATCACCGAACCCGAACCCATCACCACCACCAGCAAATCTGGCCAACAAACCACGGATCTGAAAACCCCAACTCGCATGAGGCCTCCTCCAACACCAGAGAGACGGAAAAGGAAGGAAAAAACAGGAATTAACCTCAGCCCGGACCACCGGTCGATGCCTAGCAGGAGAGGACCCCCCTCTCCCACAGCGCAACTGACACCTTGACACCACCGCAGACCGAACAACAACCGGGAATATGGAGAAACCCACCATGACCGTGAGGTCCTCGAAGCGTTGGCTGGCCGAGAGATGCCACTAGCCGGCGATAATAATACACATTTTTGTATTATTATCGATTTTGATTTTAGTCTTGTCTGCTTTGGAGATGATTTAAGGTTACGGATCCTTTTGAATTTTGCGATGACTTTTTTGTTGCGAGTGATAAAAGAATAATTATGTAGTATGATGTACTTGTATCCACATAGTTAGAGTAGAATCACGGGCGTTTCAATTTGATTGGATCTTTTTTTACTTGTAACGACAATTTAATGAAAAAATATTATTTTGAGGCACTATTTTATCTTATGCCTTTGTTACATATTTGCACATATGACGGCGAGGTTTCTGCAGAGACGTCGCACCTTCCGCTCCCGCTCGGGCTGGGCAGTTGTCTGGAATCTTTCTTTTTCAGCTTCGCGTCAGTTGGGTCTTATCTCCATGGTCATTTGCTCGTTCATTCCGACTGGAGTCTCCCGATGGCAGAGTGTCACCTCTCGGCCTCGAGAATGGTTGTTTGTCCTGACGGGGCCATCTACAGTGGCTCCCCGTGTCAATGAATATGCGTTGCACCTCATTTCCCGCAACATCTTCTGAAATGACCATTGCACCTCATATTTTGCAACCTCTTCTGAAATGACCATTGCATCACTGTAAGGTACATGTAATCCCTTACTCCTTGGTCGTTGGCCGTCAATTTGACCTTCTCTCTCTTCTGAAATGACCATTGCATCACTGTAAGGTACATGCTACTTTCTTTCATTATTAGAGTCCCTATTAGTGGGTCCTCTAAAAATTATGAGTTGCACCTCATATCCCGCGACCTCTTTTGAAATGACCACTGCATCGCTGTGAGGTACATGCAATCCCTTGATTCCTAGTCGTTGGCCGTAAGTTTGACCTTCTCTCTCTCTCTCTCTCTCTCTCTCTCTCTTAATTTTTGCAATTCAAGCATGCTACTTTCTTTCATTATTATAGTCTCCATCAGTGGGTCCTCCAGAAATTATGTGAGTGACACCCCTCTATGGAGGTGCCTCAACTTCTACCTCGCGATCTCAAGGTCTTTTTCCTCGATCATCCCTCCTCGGACCTTTCTTCTCTTTGTCCTTGCACACGAGCTCCTTCAAATGGCTTGATCAACCTCTCGATCTCATCCTTCAGGTGCCTGCAATTATCAATACTATGGCCATAATCATGATGGAACTCCCAATATAGGTTAGATTCCGGTTGTGTACGACCTTCTCTCCTCGATATAGGCCAGGTAACCATATCCTCGTCCAACTTTCTTTCCACGGTTTCCATTACCTCGGTTGGATTTGACCTCAGTGGGGTATACTTTTCATATCTGTGACAATGTCCCACTGGCCAACCTCTTCATATGTTTTCTCATTTTTCGTCTGGCTTCTCTCTCTCTCTCTCTCTCTCTCTTCCTTAGGGAGAGATGCTTTCTCAATCTAAGCAAACTTAGCCTCGTCCTCCTTCATATTAATGTACCTGACACACCTATTCAATACATCATCATACGTCAATGTCGACTTCTTAGCCAACGGGCTCCGACAAGGACCTACTCGCAACCCCCTCGCCAACCCTCCAGCCTTAACCTCCTCAGAGGCTCAAGGTATCTCCAGAAAAGCTCAGGTGTATCAAGTTACATAACTCTGTAGTGTCTTACTTTCTTGTTACTGCATCACCAATAGGGAAAGGTAGGTCTTCTCTTGTGACATGGCGCTAGCAAATTGGTTGAGAAAAATGGTCGCGAAATCCTCAAAATCCCTTACCGACCCCGAGGCGTACTGGTGAAACCAGTCTTGAGCTCCTCCTGACTGTAGAGCGTACCTCTCGGCCTCGACGGTGGCGATTTGCCCCGACGGGGTCATCTAGGTTGTTCAAGTTTGGCCACATTTTTTGGGTCTGGAGACTCAGTCTGCAGGTTTATCAGGATTCTGTGCTGTGGGGTGTGACTTGTGTGCCAATTATGGTGGTAGTGTGATTTGTCTATTAGGTTTACGGTGTTACAAACCTTAGGGTTTCTGGACAAATGAATCATTACAAGTGAGGTTAGGTCTATAATAGTTAACACCCCACTCAAGGTGGAGGTGGAGGATGTGAATCATTGAGTTTGAGCAAGTGAAGCCGATGTTGCTTTCTAGTTTGTGTTTTGGTGAAAAATCAACCACTTGCAGTTCTGACGGCACATGCTGATGAACAATTGTTTTCAGATGACAGTGTGATGGGTAAATGAAGAAAACCCTTGTCAATTCAACCCTATTAAAAAACCTAATCAAAACCTAATTCAATACCTTCCCATGAATTTATAGCAAACACACCATTCTATTTGAAGAGAAAAGAAGATGACAAACCCTAATTAAGCACTAAAAAATTAACAACTGCACCTTGAGATTCGAGAAGCTCAAGATAGAACAACACGATGTCGCTGTGGACGCAGTTGACTCAGGAAGCCGACTCGGCCAGTGGTACGAAAAGCAGTGCGGGTGCGTCGGGTGATGAGAGGAGCATCGCGGCTGCATCATGTCGGGTGAGGAGCAGCGCGAGTGCGTGAGTTGCTGGAAAGGAGAGGAGTAGCGGTCGTCGTAGAGGAGAGAAAAAATGCGGTGAGAAAATGCAGGGATGAATAACGGTCGCCGGAGAGAGTAGAGAAAAAATTGTAGTGAAAAAATGTGAGGAAGAACGTGAAAATTTGGGAAGGAAAAGAAAATAATAGAAAAATAAAATTTGAATCGAAAAGTTAGACTTGGGGAAAATTGGTGTTTTCACATGCCAAAACGGCTAAAAAAAGATATTTTTTGACAAAACATGGCCAAAATTTGTGTTATGTAAATTTATAGTCATTTAGTGGTATTAACCACCAACAAAAGGTGAAGTGTAGACATAGTGCTATTAGGTAATGTTTGTCTTTTGGTACTAAAAATGAACTAGAGACTTAGAGGGTAAACTATCTTACAAAATGCAAATGAATCTGCATTCTGATCTTTTGGCGTGTGAATCCAAGTTACTTATATAGCCACATCCTTTTCCTTTATATCACAAAAGCTTGCTTTAAGATGTCAACCGAAAATTCTTTAGTTCAAAATTTCATGTAGAATCATTCCACCCTGAAATCAACTTCTTACTATCAGACATTTTCTTATGTTTTGCATTCATTTGTGTCTTTATTAATAATTGAATAGGATAAGGAATCACCATAGCCCCAGGTCGATTTTTCCATCTTTATTGTAAGAACAAATATTATCTGTTCTTATTTTAGTAGTTAGTTTAAGTATCGCCAAAAAGAGAAAGAAAAATCAATAATTTACAGAGCTATAAACAAAATTCCAACGGCTATCACACTTCTAACAACACAATCACTTTTAATGTATAGGACTCATATCCTATCCTACATTTGCAATATTACAAAATTTTGAAAAGATTCGACTAGCCATTTTTCCCCATTAGTAATAAACATTCCAAATGACATCAAAAAAGACTGTTTATCGCACAACACAAAGGCCCACTGCTTAAAACGCTCTTACACATGAAAAAACAAGACCAAGACCAGCCGAAAAAGGCACGCTATTTTGACACGTACCTGCTTTAAAAAAAGTCGAGGTATTTCAATTTGTTTTGTCGACGCGGACAAAAGTCGGGGAGAACGAACCTCTGAAATTCTTTCAATATTGAACCTTGCACATATGAAGAATTCCTAATCGAATCTCTTTAGAAACAAGATCTTTTTGTCTTCACTCAACCTCCTTAATCAACGGCTTACCACTACTTATTCCCCGTTTTCCCTCCAACTTCACGCCACTCCCTTTGCCTCCCGATTGCTCCACAGCAAACTCCTTCTCCTTCTCCACAACACCCGCTAACAAAGGCCAAGACTCGTTCGCCTGCTCACGAACCCAACACATAACAAAGTAGATTTTCCTCTCGGCTGACTTGAGCTTTCCCCTCAACTCAACCCGTTTTGACTTGTTCATTTTCTCTGACTTAAGCTCCCGTTCGCCCGTTTGAACCAATTTCCACAAATCACACAATGCACAAACTAAAGCATTTCCTCCCAAACAGAACAAACGAATCACATCATCCACAATTCTCAGCCCCAACCGCAAACCGCCCATTTGTTTATAAACAGGTGAGCACGTTCGCTCCAGACAGTCCAGCAAGGCTTCCAACACCGTTTGAGGTTTTCCAGCCCGGCCCAAGACAGAGGACACAGTACGGACTACTGTGGAAGCATCCAGAGGATCCGCTCCCCATTCACCGTTGTAAAGGCGGAGAGTGAAGCAGTAACTGTATATAATGTCCACGAGGTGGACTGGCAACAGTAGGGATGGGCTTGAGGATGTGAGTTTAGAAACAGGCGGTAACGGGCTTTCGGGCCCATGTGGGATGATGTTGGGCCATATTTCGCTGTCTGGATTGTCTGAGTTGGGAATGGGTTGGACTAACTGGGTCCCGTCGGGGCTGAGTGCAATGTGTTTGGCGGATAGCTTTAACCACCAAGGATCCCAAGGTTGGATCAGTTTGCCGAGCTCCCCTGAGGCAATGGCTCTTTGGAAATGTTTCTTTTCTTCAATGGATAAATCATCAAAATTTATCTGCTCACCTGCAAGAGGGGGGTACAGAGTAATTTATTAGGACTATTGCGGATTTTAGTGTGGATGTTAGGTATCGTCATTAGAAAACCCAAGTGTTGCATTATTTTACCTGAAAGAATCTTCTGAATAGTTTCCTCTGAGAAAGATGATCCGGAATCTGAATAATTATGGAGGTTGGATATGAGACGATTGCTTCTTTACTCAAGTTAAGTACACCCAACATAGGCAGTAAAAAAAATGTTCTGTTTTTATGAGCAAATGAAGAGGAAGATTGATGCCGAAATTCATAACAGCTTTGTCCTTTCAAATTTAATCCATTCAGATGATAAGCTCTACAAGTTACGTAAAAGAACCATTCATGGACTACTAAAGCTACGCAAATTAATGATTAAAAAAAAAAAAATTATATATGAACTTATCAGGTTATTCGAATAGAGCATAATTTGGGGTAGAAATTTTACTACTTTTCTGAATCTGTTTTTCATCATCATTATCCAGAATAACTCTGTAAGTCCGTATAGGTGAAATTTTCTGATTGAAGTTCAAGTATAAATACATTTTTAAGATGAATAATGCCAATGAGAATGCAATGCAATTTATTGTGGTTGTGACTTTGGAGAGAGAAATACTGAAACGGCAATATCGACATACCCTCTTCGTCGATGCTAGCTGCCTCCTCATCCTCATGGAATCGTTTAAGTATTTCCAGCATTTTAGATTTACTGTTTTCATCAGGTTGCACGTGTTGCAGTTCTTCCATTACATTCCCTCTCATAAAAGGCTCTGTACAGCGAAGACTATGAGACTGCACAAGCACGATATGAGATCATTTCAGACACCAAAACTATCACCAATACATAGTGTTTTTTTTAGCTAGTTGTCATATACTAGTGTCCATTTTAAGACTCCAAATCAAGTACTTGTTTATATACGACCAAATCAGTGTAGACATCCTTAAATTGGTACCTTGTAACAATGCAAAGAACAGTACCGAATATTGCATCGAGGGCATGTGTATTGTGAAAATTGCTTCTCGCATCTGCAGAAATAATGAATAAGAAAAGAACTAATTTATATCATTCTCATATGATTGATTGAGTTGTCAGAAATTACAACAAGACACAATTAGATTATTAAATACTTATGAAAATTAATGTTATCTGTAAGAGGCCAAAATTCAAGGATGAAGTATTTCACGTTATCTTAATGAGCATAAGAATTCCAGCTGCCAGCATATATTGTTGTCCTCGTTAGACAAGCAAAATTATCCCATTTTGGATCAAACAGACACGACAGAATAACTTCCACCAAAATACCTTGTTTCGGAGGAACTCAAAGGCTAAAAAAGCATCAATGATAACAGGTTCATGACAAAATTTGACCTATTTTTCATTATTCAAGACAAGCTTTGAATGAGAATGAGTATGGCATTATAGTGCACAGAGATGAGATTTTCACAGCCCAAAGTTTGTCATTCTAGTTCAATATGCAGGATCTATAGCATAAGGATGCCTATGTAATTTGTACATAGATCGATTAGGGCGGTGTTAGCTAAAGATAATGTCATAATATGTCATAATGTCATAATATGTCTATGCAAGTTGGACCGTGGATTCAGAGGTGTAAGTTGGTAAGTCAAGGAAACTTAGCAATACATGTTCACTATTTCTAACCCAAACTTTTAAATTTTGATTTTCTCACTCATTTTTTAACATCAAAGTCCAGACCATCTACAAAATCTAGATAGTTGTGTCACCTCATGAGTATCTGATCATATCTCCAGTTTGTTACTGTACCATTCAATTGTCTATCCACTCACAACGTGTATGTGTAGTACTATTCCACAGCAAAAATTTCATTCCATGACCTGAATTCGACATTCTTTCAAGCACATTTAATTTAAACCCAAACTTGAAAACATAAACGAAAATAACAATTACGGCCACATTTATAAACTGGCAAAAGTACCAAAAGCTATAAACAAAACAATACCCAGAATCAAGAGCAAGGGAGCCAAACTTACACGCGGCATATTATGCGGGTATTAGGGTTGAAATGTGTAGAGTTGGAAGATACTTTCGTGGTAAATATATTGTCCGACATCTGCAAAAGCTGCGATATTGTCGTCAATCTGTAAAATTATTACACCACAATTTACTAATCGAAATTACTAATCGAAGTAATCATCACTGATATTCAAACTCAAATCATCTAATCTGTAAGATCCGTAATATTTTATGTCAATAATTTATCATTACTTAATCTATTTCAAAATATGCCTCAAGGTGGTTCCTCATCCACTTGTAATCAGCAAATGATATCTTCCTTTAGGTAACTTTTAAGTTTAAACTCTTAAATTTTCAATACCCAAACCAATACACGAACAAACAAAAAACATTTTATTTTTATCTCGCACACAGCTCTCCCTTTTGCATTCAAACAATCCAATAGCAGGTGATTTCTGCCCAACAAAAAATAAAATAAAATAAAATATCGACCTAAGTTACAACCATAGTTAAAAAATCTACGCCGTCGCCAGACCCTTCCTGATACCCATCACCTCAGCCACGAACTGTTGGCAATGTGGTGGTTAGTCGTAGGGAGTTCTGTGCAAAAATGCACCCAACCGAAAAAATCGAAAACCGAAATTTTCGAAATTGTTAACTCAACCCAACCGCATACATTGTAAAAACCGAACCATGGTTTTCGGATTCGGTTTGTTTTTTTTTTTCGACCACCCGCAGAATACAACTCAGAATTAACCAAAACAATATTAATACAGCCAAAATCTAAACCTGGAATTAAAACTATGTAAAAAAGTTTAAAAAGAAAAAAAAAATTGGAAGATGAAATATATCTACCCAAATCACAAGACTTCCGATCATTTTTTGCCAATTCAAACACATGCAGTCACTTTGGAAATACACCAACGAGAATTGCCAAAAGTTAAAAAGAATAAAATTATTTTTCTGATCCACTCATGTTTCATGGATCGGATCACCTGGGAATGGCCTTCGTGAGCAATCAACTCACCTGTCAAAATTATCTGCCTTAGAGTCTCACAATGAGGTTAACACTAGGAGCTAAATCAAAACTCGGTTTCATTTGTGGTATGGTGGAAGTTCCAGATATGGATTCAGAGGATTATGAACAATACCAGAAAGTGGAGCTCATGGTGATTTCCTGGTTGTTAAATTCGACTCAAAGGAAATAGTGGAAGTTCATTTATGTGAAGAATTCTAAACAGCTATGGGATGAGTTGGCCGAGAAATATGGGAAAGTAATGGACCTGTTCGCTACCAGCTGAAAAAGGAGATTGCAAATTTGATCAAGGTAATCTCACTGTTAAAACCTATTATACGAAATTGAAGTACCTGGGATGAACACACGTGCTTGGTTTCATTGCCTAATTGCAATTGCGGTGTTGGGGAAAGCCTATTGTGATAAGACATGGAAATTAAGTTTATGCAGTTCCTTATGGGGTTGAATGATGTATTTGAGCCTGTTAAGACCAGATATTGCTGACGGATCAATTGCCTATGATAAACAAAGCTTGTTCTATGATCTTAAAGGTTGAAAAACAAAAAATCCTTACTATAGCAACAGACAATTTGGAAAGCTCAGTAATGTTGGTAAAAGAAAATTAGGGAAGAGGAGGTATCTATATGGGGAACTTTGGAAGACGAAATGGTGGTAGAGGATCCTTTGAAAAAGGAAGTAACAATTTAGGCCGAGGTAGAGGACAAGATAGACTTTCTAAAGAGGGGAGAGGGTCAAGTTGGTATGTGACCATTGTATCCACAATCGTCATGAAATTCAGGGTTGCTTCACGTTGAATGCTATCCGAATTGGTACAAGAAGTTGAAGAATCAGAAATATGGACAGCATGTGAACATTGTTGATGATCAGAGTTCTAGCAGAAGATCTACAGAAACTTAAAGTGGAAAACAACAAATTGTAGGTGAACTTTCAGATATCAATTCTCTTATTCAAAAGGAGGTTGCTAAGTAATTAATACTTATCTGGGCAACAAAATGGAGAATCTTCATCCTTTGCATATAATCAGATGATATCAATCATTTTGGCTTCTCTTTGTTAGATAACATAGGAGTCAAGTTGGAGTGTGAACACGGGTGCTAGCAGGCACATATGTTGCACTTCTGATTGGTGAGAAATGTAAGAAATGTGTCTGCGCCTGTGCATGTGCCTGAGTAAATTCGCCCAATGGAGCCAAAATCAAAGCGACAAAGGTTGGCAATGCGAGATTGAACAGTGAAATTGTTCAGGAACATGTGTTAATTGTGCCTGAGTTCATATATAATCTGCTCTCCATACGGCAACTCACTGAAGAGAAGGGATTGATTTGCAAATTTAATAAACAAAAATGTTGGCTGCAGGACCTTGAAGGGAAAAGGTTAGTGGCAATGGGGACAGCTCATGGTGTCTGTATATCATTTGTATATCATAAGGCAACAGAACATGATCAATCGGTAGAAGAAGATAACATGGAGAATCAGCAGTTACAATTTTGGCATAAGAGGTTGGGTCACAGTTCTGTTTCATGTCTAAAATATTGATTTTCTAAAGGTGTTTTGTAAAGAACAAAGTGTTGAGCCTTGTGATGTATGCCAATTGGCATAGATCAGGGCAAAGCATATAGTCTTTTTGTTTGAACACTATTAAGACAGATAATATTTGATCCGATTCATATTTCATGCTGATATTTGAGGCCCATGTCATGATAAATTTGTGTCTAACTTCTTATATGCTCACAATAGTGGATGACAAAACAAGAGGTACTTGGATATTCCTTATGAAATATAAGACAGGAGCTTATCTACATATAAAATATTTTTTGAGATGGTGAAGGTGCAGTTTGGAAAATTGGTTAAACACATAAGGGACTGATAATGGCTCAGAATTCATCAGAGAACATGTCCTTACCCTCCTCAACGTCAACGGTGTTGAACGGAGTTGTTGAAAGGAGGCACATGACAATTTTGGAGATTGCAAGGTCACTCTTGTTGCAGTCCAGCTTAGATAAGGAGCTTTGGCCGTATACACTTCTCGTTGCAGTACATATCTTGAACTCCTTGCCTAGTGAAGTGTTGGGTTGGAAATCTTCATATGAGCTGTTGTATATTACCAGACTATGGAAAAAGAGTTAGAAGCTTTGGAATTGAATCATACATGGAAACTGACTTCCTTACCCCATGGGAAAAAAGCCACTGGTTCTAAGTGGGTGATCTAAGATCAAGAGAAATCCATATGGTTCTATTGACAAATACAAGACAGTACTTGTGCCCATATCGCCTCGCCACTGCCTGAGGCGACCCTGTTCGCGAGGCGTTCGCTTCAAGTCGCCTCAGCTCGCCTTTTTGCGTGGCGAGAGGTGCCAATGAGGCACGCCTCGGCTCACCTTTTTGCGTTGGCTGTAGCAGTTTTTGAAAAGAGGAGAGAAATAAAACAGGTCTCCTCTTCTGCTCTTCATCTCCTACACGCAGACCGCAGAAATAGGGTTTATTCACGGACAGACAAAAAAAATTAAAAAACAGAAGAAAATAAACATGCGGGCTCTTCTCTTCATCTCCCTCGACCTGCTGCCGTGCCGGCGCTGCCACCAGTCCCCCGCTTCTTCGAGCTCTTCCCCAGGTATGCCGCACTGCTGAGTCGCTAAAGGGAATTTGTTATTTATGACTTTATTGCACCACAAATTCCACCTCTACCTTCCAGGCCTATTGTGATGCAGATTGGGGGACTTGTGTCATCACCAGAAAGTCTTTTAGTCTCTTACAGGATACTGTGTGTTCTTAAGGGATGCATTGACCTCTCGGAAAACCAAGAAGCAGAAAACAGTCTCCAAATCATCTGAGGCTGAGTATAGATCAATGGCCACTAAGATATGTGAATTGCAACTGCCTGTTGGTTTGGCTACTGATTTGGGAGCTCAATGTTTTCTTCCTAATTCGATTATGGTGTGACAAAAAGGCGGCCATCGACATCACTGTCAATTCGGTATTTCATGAAAGAACTAAGCATCTTGACATTGATTGTCGTGTGCTAATCGTCGTGTTGATTTATGTGGTGGTTACTTTTCGAGTTCCATCTTCAAGTTCTCAAATTCACTACTAAAAGAGAGGGGAAAATAATAACAATAACAACAATTTAATACAAGCACACCTTTTTAATCTGGAGCCACCATAAATATCTTCTTCGATGTTCCTCTCCTCCCAAGAATTTCAAGCCGTCTACCGAAAATCCGGTCTCATTTCAGAGTCCCAAATTCAACTTCCCCTGTCAATTTTTCCCCGTCCTGGACGC